GTTCTGTACTCTTTGTGGTTCTGGTTCTGTAATGTTGTGGTTCTGGTTCTGTGCTGTCCAGGTCCAGATGTCCAGAGCAACGCAGCGTCTCCCTCAGCTGTCCTCCAGGTCTCTGGTCTCCGTCCCCCCACCTCCCCCCGGCAACAAGTCCAGGTCCAAGAAGATAGGGGTATGAGATTATTATTATACATGTTATAATATAGTTATACATTTAATACTTTATAGTCTATATTATACATGTTATAATATAGTTATACATTTAATACTTTATAGTCTATATTATATATGTTATAATATAGTTATGTATTTAATACTTTATAATATAGTCTATATTATACATGTTATAATATAGTTATACATTTAATACTTTATAATATAGTCTATATTATATATGTTATAATATAGTTATATATTTAATACTTTATAATAGTCTATATTATATATGTTATAATATAGTTATACATTTAATACTTTATAATATAGTCTATATTATATATGTTATAATATAGTTATACATGTAATACTTTATAATATAGTCTATATTATATATGTTATAATATAGTTATACATTTAATACTTTATAATATAGTCTATATTATATATGTTATAATATAGTTATACATTTAATACTTTATAATATAGTCTATATTATATATGTTATAATATAGTTATATATTTAGCACTTTATAATATAGTCTATATTATATATGTTATAATATAGTTATATATTTAATACTTTATAATATAGTATATATTATATATGTTATTATAATAGTTATATATTTAATACTTCATAATATAGTCTATATTATATATGTTATAATATAGTTATATATTTAAAACTTTATAATATAGTCTATATTATATATGTTATAATATAGTTATACATTTAATACTTTATAATATAGTCTATATTATATATGTTATAATATAGTTATACATTTAATACTTTATAATATAGTCTATATTATATATGTTATAATATAGTTATACATTTAATACTTTATAATATAGTCTATATTATATATGTTATAATATAGTTATATGTTTACTATTTTATAATAGTCTATGTTATATATTTAATGTTTTATAATATAGTCTATATTATAAAACAAGATATAAAAGATAATCTTCAGCTGTGACCTTATGGACGACAGCCAATATAAATGTATTAATGTTTCCTCACTGAAAGGACGGTCTGAATGTCTCCTCCTTCTCCTCCTCCTCCTCCTCCTCCTTCTCCTCCTCCTCCTTCTCCTTCTTCTTCTTCTTCTTCTTCTTCTTCTTCTTCTTCTTCTTCTTCTTCTTCTCAGCCGGTGACCTGGAAATCTCTCGCTGCGACGTTTGCCATCGGCGGAGCGGTCCTGGGTCTCATGAAGTACTTCAAGAAGGAGAAGGAGGAATGTAAGAGCATGGAAATGTACTACATATATATACATATACATATATATACATATACATATACATATATATACATATACATATATATATATATATATATATATATATATATATATATATATATAATGTACTACAGTGGTAGTATGTATTACAGTGGACAAAAGGCAGAGTTTCTAAGGCGAGGCGTTGGGTAACTAAGTAATTAACCTCTTACAACAGGAGGTTAGGTGATGTAATTTTAATGTGTGTGTGTGTGTGTGCGTGTGCGTGCGTGTGTGTGTGTGTGTGCGTGCGTGCGTCTCCCTCCTCAGTGCTGGAGAAGGAGCGTACCAAGTCGCTGGGCAAGGCGGCGCTGGGCGGTCCGTTCTCCCTGGTGGACCAGAACCACCGGCCCAGCAGCAGTGAGGACTTCCTGGGCCAGTGGGTGCTGCTGTACTTCGGCTTCACCCACTGCCCCGACATCTGCCCCGACGAGATCGAGAAGATGATCGAGGTGGTGAACGACATAGGTAGCGCACCCCGTTCCCAGCATGCATTGCTTCACCCCCCCCCACAGATCCTGACATTAAAGGACCCTCCATGTTCACCACCAGGTGGGCTGTGGATCAGCCATCGCACGCCACGTCAAAATCTACCCTCTAGTGACAGCCTGTCCAGTGGACCGTACCAACTGGTACAGTCCACTGGACAGGCTGTACCCTCTAGTGACAGCCTGTCCAGCGGACCGTACCAACTGGTACATCAGCCTACCAGTTGGTACGGTCCGCTGGATAGGCTGTACCCTCTAGTGACAGTCTGTCCAGTGGACCGTACCAACTGGTACAGTCTAGTGACAGCCTGTCCAGCGGACCGTACCAACTGGTACAGTCTAGTGACAGCCTGTCCAGTGGACCGTACCAACTGGTACAGTCTAGTGACAGCCTATCCAGTGGACCGTACCAACTGGTACAGTCTAGTGGCAGCCTATCCAGTGGACCGTACCAACTGGTACAGTCTAGTGACAGCCTATCCAGTGGACCGTACCAACTGGTACAGTCTAGTGACAGCCTATCCAGTGGACCGTACCAACTGGTACAGTCTAGTGGCAGCCTATCCAGTGGACCGTACCAACTGGTACAGTCTAGTGACAGCCTATCCAGTGGACCGTACCAACTGGTACAGTCTAGTGACAGCCTGTCCAGTGGACCGTACCAACTGGTAGGCTGATCTATCCGTCGTACATCTTGTGATGTCACTAGAGGGTAGATTTTGGCATGGCTTGTAACGGCTAGCCAACATCGTCTAGTGGCGCGGGTTCGAGTCCCAGCTGAAAGGGTCTGGGGTTCGAGTCCCAGCTGAAAGGGTCTGGGGTTCGAGTCCCAGCTGAAAGGGTCTGGGGTTCGAGTCCCAGCTGAAAGGGTCTGGGGTTCGAGTCCCAGCTGGAAGGGTCTGGGGTTCGAGTCCCAGCTGGAAGGGTCTGGGGTTCGAGTCCCAGCTGGAAGGGTCTGGGGTTCGAGTCCCAGCTGGAAGGGTCTGGGTTCGAGTCCCAGCTGGAAGGGTCTGGGGTTCGAGTCCCAGCTGGAAGGGACTGGGTTCGAACCCCGAAGTGTCTGCAGCCTAAATCTGTATCTGAGTTCACTGTCAAGTCGCTCTGGGAAGAGCCCTCTTCTCAGCGACTGAATAGTAACCGTGGCAACGCTCCCTCCCAGACAAGCTGAAGACGCTGCCGGACCTCACCCCCATCCTCATCACCATCGACCCGGACCGCGACACGCCGGACGCCATGGCGGCGTATGTGAAGGGTACGCTAAAGCAATGCTAAGTTCATCATGATAACCATAATTTTATTTTTATTTGTGTATATATATATATAAAAGTATAATTGCGATTATTTTGCGATTAACAGATTCAATTCATATTCTGCTGCGTCTGTGTGAATACAAAACAATATTAAAGCGATTGCTGGTTTTGTAATTTTATTTTAATGTAGCTAACGGATATACACAATCTGATTTATTTTGTTTTTATAATTGTTTTAAAAAAAAAAATTCTATAAATGAATTGCAACTTTTCACAATTAGCTAATTGCGGAGGTCAAAGGTCAGAGCGGAGGACTGTCCATGTGTGTGTGTGTGAGTAGAAGTTGGACAGCGTTAATCCAGCGCCGCTCTCTTCCTGGCAGAGTTCTCCCCAAAGCTGGTGGGTCTGACGGGGACTAAGGCCCAGGTGGACCAGGTCTCCCGGGCCTACAGGGTCTACTACAGCCAGGGGCCCAAGGACGAGGACAACGACTACATCGTGAGTACCCCCCCTCCGGTCCGGTCCGCTCCGGTCCCAGAAAGTCCTTTTAGTCATTGAGTTGAGAGACACTTCTCATCCAGAGAGACGTGTGGAGGATCAGTTTCCGAACCCGGGAGCGCTCCCCTCCCTAGTCTGGTTCCTTTGAGCATTATGTGAATGCAGCAATCGGACCAAACCAAGTGGGCCGAGATCCCCTAGTCCAGGTGGTCCACCTAGTCCAGGTGGTCTTTCCTTTCTAAGCACACCTGGGAGTCGTCTCAGTGGACCGAAGCGACGAGGACTTTTAGAGCTCCTCCTCCGTTCAGCCAGTCTGGTGGTGAGTTAACTGCCAGCGTTGTTCTCTTCTGCAGGTGGACCACACCATCATCATGTACCTGGTGGGGCCCGACGGAGACTTCCTGGAGTACTTTGGACAGAACAAGACCAGCACTGAGATCACAAACTCCATCGCGGCGCACATGAGGAAGAGCAAGAAGGGCAAATAAAGACTCGACCTTCTGGACAAACCTCATCTCCAGAGACCGGATCTCCAGATACCTGGTCTCCAGACCGATGATCACACGCTCTGTATAATGACCAATGATTTTTTGTATTTATTTTGTGTGTGTGTGTGTGCGTGTGTGTGTCTGTGTGCTGGATCATGGGGTTGTTTGCTGCCCCCTGGTGTCCGTTTACGGCATTACAAGAAGAGATGAATCAACTTTAAAGTTTGATTCCATGTGAAGGAATGTGTGAGTGACCATTTCAAGATAAAAGTGCAATTTTGAAAAAAATAATAGCACTGTTTTGTTCATCACTGTCGCCTTTTTTTTGCCTTTTTTTTTGCATTGTTTCTGCACTTCTGGCCTTCATCTTGATAGATATGAACTTTTGTAGGATATTTTTGTTCTGAGATTTCAAAAAAATAAATAATCCTCTATTTAGTGTTTGACACCCTTACTGCCAGCAGGCCGGTTAAGAACCACACACACACTAATGCACTGGAGACGAGAGACGCTGGTGGTGGTGGTGGAGGGGATGGGGTGGGGGGGGGGGGGGGGTTCGGCAAAGTCCTGGTCCGGTCTGGCTGCCGAGGACCAGATACAGAGGCAGCTGTTGGCTGAGCATGTGGGAGATAAATAGAGAGACTGATTTAGAGCCTCTATATCCACCAATTAAGATCCACACCAATTAAGACCGTCTGTTCACCGCCAGGGAACATACGCTGTTATACTATTTACTATTCCTTTATTTAAATAAAGTGACCTGGAGAGTACTTCTACAGGTCATTAAGGAGCAGGTAGGGGTTAGGGGGCATCTTGCTCAAGGATGCCTACAGATAGACTGGACATTGGGAATCGAACCCAGAACCTTTCGGCTGTGAGCCGAACACGACTAGAATATGTTTCACCTTATTAGCTATTCAACAGAATATATAGTTTTTATACACATTTTCCACACAAAGTGTGTAAAGATGAGTTTACCGTCGTACTAATGTGAAGGGAAGTGCAACAGTTGACTGATGGACGCTGCATGGACCTCCTGCATGGACCTCCTCCTGCATGGACCTTCTGCATGGACCTCCTGCAGCAGATCAGTGATGGACGCTGCATGGACCTCCTGCTTGGACCTCCTGCTTGGAGATCCTGCATGGCCCTCCTGCATGGACCTCCTGCTTGGACCTGCAGCAGATCAGTGATGGACGCTGCATGGACCTCCTGCAGCAGAAGACTGATGGACGCTGCATGGACCTCCTGCAGCAGCTGCTGACCATCTCCAGGATCTCCAGCTGTCCACTTCAACAATGATTCATTTCACTGGGATCAAAACGAAATGCGTCTTGATCTCCAAAAAGAGAAAGTATAAGGGGGGGGATATAAACACGAGAAGTAACACACACACATACACACACACACACACACACACACACACACACACACACACACACACACACACACACACACGCGGCAGAGTGGAAACACTTGAGTTCTACAAATACTGAGGCTAATTGGGAAACGCGCGACGGCGAGCTTTAGACGGCGCTCTCTGGCTTTCTGTATTCCTGATTTGACCTTTGACCCCCGAGAGGCCGGCTGGCTGGTCTGCATTCCCAGCATGCCTGCTGAGCGCTCTGCAGGGCGGCTCCACCGACCAGAACCAGAACCAGAACCTGAACCGTCTTTAACGGGCCGAGCGGGCTTCACACTCTCAATGTGGAGAGATATAATATAAATATAAGTTATATAAAAACAAAAATGTATGAGAATACTCGATCGGATGGATAAGTAGTATAATAAGAGTGACATGAAAGCAATATAAAAATAATCAATGTTTTGAAAATGAAATCAACCAAAATAAAAGCGGGTTATTGATATTCTGTGACACTGAGGGGCTGAAGGAAAGTGATCATGTGACAAAACCTCAAGCAAGAAGCAAAAAGTATTCTTAGATATTAGAAGTACAAGATAGAGAAACTAAATAGAAACACACATTTGATTCCAATAACTTAATGATTCAGGTCTGGTTGGAACGGGTTGGATCATGTGAATGTATCCGTTTGATGCTGCTTGAAACAAAGATAGTACAGCAGATATCTCCAGCCTGGTCCTGGTCCTCAGACCGCCCCCCCCCCCCCATCATCTAGAGGCCTAATCTCCCCTGAGCCCACAGAATGAGGGCCGCCATGTTTGGCCCCAAAGCCCCTGTAATCCGGCGTCCTTAGCGATCATTGCTTTTTAATCGGCCGGCGGCGCGGGACACAATTGAAACCGTTTAAATGTGACACAATACGCTATACTTAGGCTGTCTGAATTACAAAACAGACATGAAACAGACATGAAACAGACATGAAACAGACGGGCGATGACTTTCTCCAAGTCGGCCTGTAAGCCAGATATGATCTCTCTCGCCAAATATAGGAGAAACCGCGAACGCGGTCCGGCCATGTTGGCGTTATAAAGGCTGTCAAAGTCTCGTTAGGTCCAGGTTCAGGTTCTGGTTCAGGTTCTCTGGCAGACTGGGGGACCGGATAGTAATAAACCAACAGCAACAATCATCTTGAGATCCTCCTTCTGTCCAACCACGTGGTGTTACTGCTCATCTTGGGACACTCAGGTAAGTGCTGCTGTTCACCTCTACTGTATTTACAAAGAAATACAACAATTAACATTATTATTTATGGTTCTGTATCTCAATTGTCAGAGCCGGACATTAACCCAACCAGGGGTCCCACTGGGCCCCCATGCTAATCTATACACTCACTGCATTGGTATTATATGGACAACACATTGCAAATACACATCTATTTTATTTGAATGACTTTTATTACATGTACATTAAGTACATGTAATAAAACAGCAGAAGCTTTTATCCAAGCTGAGACTGAGAACAATTAAAGCATAAATTACAACCCCAGGGTCCAAAATGAACTTTTAGACGTGACTTTTTACTGCCAGAGTGGAAACATCTGCCAGCCAAGCAGCTGTTGTAATTATTATGTAACCCTGAACTGTTGTGTTCAATTTGGACCCTGATGACAACCAATAACATCTCCCATGAGAAGATATCCTTATATAAGATATATAAGTATCCCCCGCAGGTCTAGCAGGACATGGGGGACGCCGAGATGGAGATCTTTGGGTTGGCGGCGCCGTACCTCCGCAAGCCGGAGCGCGAGCGCGTCGCCGCCCAGAACGCGCCCTTCGACGCCAAGACGGCCGTCTTTGTGACGGACGCCAGGCAGGAGTACGTGAAGGGCAAAATCAAGAAGCAAGACGGCTCCAGGATCACCGTGGAAACGGAGGATGCGAAGGTACGGGCGTGGCGTGGGGACGTCTCGTCCTCATCTGGCTCACTACAGACTAGAGAGGACGGCACGGAAATGGGCAATAAAATGGAGTTCAATCTTTTTTTTTTTAATTAAGGAAGAAATATGAATATTTCATAGTTGTTCGTGTCTCTTTGGTCCAGATTGTGTCCGTCCAGCCGGAGGACATCCGGCCCATGAACCCTCCTAAGTTCGATAAGATCGAGGACATGGCCATGCTGACCCACCTGCATGAGCCGGCGGTGCTGTACAACCTGAAGGAGCGCTACGCCGCCTGGATGATCTACGTACGAAATATAATAACCTTATATAATAATGTTATATATAAATAACCTTATATATATGTTATATATATATATATATAATAACCTTATATATAATAATGTTATATATAAATAACCTTATATATAATAATGTTATATATATATATATATATATATATATATATATATATATATATATATATATATATATATATATATATAATAACCTTATATATAATAATGTTATATATAATAACCTTATATAATAATGTTATATATAAATAACCTTATATATAATAATGTTATATATATATATATATATATATATATATATAATAACCTTATATATAATAATGTTATATATAATAACCTTATATATAATAATGTTATAAAAGACACAGCTACACTAATTATGTCCTTTATAATAATAACCTTCAGTCATAAGCCATTTATAAGCCTTAACGAAGAACTTTAACATAACACTTTAACATAATTATCAGTCATCTACAAATGTATATTCATGTGTTGTTCATGATTAGTTCATCGTTAACTTAAGGCTTATAAACGACTTCTGACTGGACGTTATTATAAAGTGTTACCGCGACGTCCAGACTTATTTAGTAGGGGGGGGGGGGGGGGCAATATCCAACCAATCATAATACACTTCATTATCGGAAATAAGGATCAGGTTGTGTCTCACCTCAGTAATGTATTTAATGTAATTAATTAATTATTACCCCCCCCCCCCCCCCCTCCCAGACCTACTCCGGCCTCTTCTGTGTGACGGTGAATCCCTACAAATGGCTACCGGTCTACAACCCCGAGGTCGTCGCCGGTTACCGCGGGAAGAAGCGGCAGGAAGTCCCGCCCCACATCTTCTCCATCTCCGACAACGCCTACCAGTACATGCTCACCGGTAGCAACCGCTCCTTTCACAGTCCGATCATCTGACGATTATCTCCCCATTAATCATTTAGTACCAGAGTTGTATTACTTTAGTACCAGAGTTGTGTTACTTTAGTACCAGAGTTGTGTTACTTTAGTACCAGAGTTGTGTTACTTTAGTACCAGAGTTGTATTACTTTAGTACCAGAGTTGTATTACTTTAGTACCAGAGTTTTACTACTTTAGTACCAGAGTTTTACTACTTTAGTACCAGAGTTGTATTACTTTAGTACCAGAGTTTTACTACTTTAGTACCAGAGTTGTATTACTTTAGTACCAGAGTTTTACTACTTTAGTACCAGAGTTTTACTACTTTAGTACCAGAGTTGTATTACTTTAGTACCAGAGTTGTATTACTTTAGTACCAGAGTTGTATTACTTTAGTACCAGAGTTTTATTAATTTAGTACCAGAGTTTTATTATTTAGTACCAGAGTTTTATTACTTTAGTACCAGAGTTTTATTATTTAGTACCAGAGTTTTATTACTTTAGTACCAGAGTTTTATTATTTAGTACCAGAGTTTTACTACTTTAGTACCAGAGTTTTACTACTTTAGTACCAGAGTTTTATTACTTTAGTACCAGAGTTTTACTACTTTAGTACCAGAGTTGTATTACTTTAGTACCAGAGTTTTACTACTTTAGTACCAGAGTTTTACTACTTTAGTACCAGAGTTGTATTACTTTAGTACCAGAGTTGTATTACTTTAGTACCAGAGTTGTATTACTTTAGTACCAGAGTTTTATTAATTTAGTACCAGAGTTTTATTATTTAGTACCAGAGTTTTATTACTTTAGTACCAGAGTTTTATTATTTAGTACCAGAGTTTTATTACTTTAGTACCAGAGTTTTATTATTTAGTACCAGAGTTTTACTACTTTAGTACCAGAGTTTTACTACTTTAGTACCAGAGTTTTATTACTTTAGTACCACAGTTTTACTACTTTAGTACCAGAGTTGTATTACTTTAGTACCAGAGTTGTATTACTTTAGTACCAGAGTTTTATTACTTTAGTACCAGAGTTGTATTACTTTAGTACCAGAGTTGTATTACTTTAGTACCAGAGTTTTACTACTTTAGTACCAGAGTTGTATTACTTTAGTACCAGAGTTGTATTACTTTAGTACCAGAGTTGTATTACTTTAGTACCAGAGTTGTATTACTTTAGTACCAGAGTTTTATTACTTTAGTACCAGAGTTTTATTATTTAGTACCAGAGTTTTATTACTTTAGTACCAGAGTTTTATTATTTAGTACCAGAGTTTTATTACTTTAGTACCAGAGTTTTATTATTTAGTACCAGAGTTTTACTACTTTAGTACCAGAGTTTTACTACTTTAGTACCAGAGTTTGATTACTTTAGTACCAGAGTT